CCGAATATAACCAAAACAGGCAGACCATAAAGTCGAGTTTTAAGGTTTTTTGGGTTTATGTGCCTGTAGCTCTACGGCGACTTATTTTATGGTTAGATCTGACTGACGATCAGAAGGATCTCAGTGTATTAATAATACTGTAGAATGCTGTTCTGTCTATTTCGTATATACCATTTTTTGGGTGTATTTTCTGTGCTGCTGTACAATAGTGTACCTATACTCTTAAATGTTTATCGAACTTTGTTGATTTGAGTAGTTTGGCTGGGCGAGTAACAAACTGCCTTTCTCGTACCAATTTTTCGACTAAAATCAAACTGTGATCCTTGTTTTCAGCATATAGCTTAAGCTTGCGGTTTTCTAAATGTTGTAGGAATTGAGTCATTCCTGTCACATAGTCGTATTTTTTGTTACACATCACATGTCACATCGCTTACACTGCTCAAATGTCCATGCTGTAGTTGAAGTAGTACTGTTATGATTTTGTGTACCTACGGCATCTGTATGTCACTCCTTCGCAACCAGAATTCAAATAAACCATTTCTCATAAATCATGTATCTGTTTCTAATTTTTCAGCGTTTTGAAATTTTAAATAATTAAATTACAGTTATAATCTTTGGGCTCTTATAAGTTCTGTACTTTCACATTGATTAAAAGCAGCAGTTTAACTATCCCGACAGCAGAGCTGGGTCTGAAGACTAAGCTGTCAGTGTTCAGTTCATTATTCTCAAGCTTACCACGGTTTTGAGTCGTAGACTATGACTGAAAAACTTCGATATTAGGTACGAGCGGCTGAAATGGGCTTTCTGAGACGAGTCGCTGACATTTCTGACACGCGTCTCGACATGGTGAGGAATGCAAACATCCGGGAGAGCCTAGGTGTACAGCCACCGCGTCTTCAAATCGAGAAGTCAGCTTCCTCGATTATATGGACCGTGTTGCGAATGCCTCCAGAAAGGAAGGCGAAGCGGGTACTTCTTGCCAAGTCGACAGACATAAGACCCAGGGACGGCCGAGCAGCCAAGATTAACCTGAAACAAGTGTCTGGAAGTGGTATGCTCTAAACTACGGTTGTCTTCTGCCGAAATTCCAATGCTTGCACATGATCGAGGACTTTTGAGACGCTGTTTGATGTTTCTGCCTCATTAACTAACAGGATAAGAGGTCATCAGAATTGACTGAAACTAAAGCAGCTGATAAAGATGAACCTTTAATCTTCCGAAACTGTTAGAATACGGATTGCGTGACAACAGCTTTATATCTTCTTGAGATATGTGTTATAAAGGCATCTTTTGGGATGAAGAAGTGTGGATTTTGTTACAGCAGCATAGCACAAATGCTTGGATAAATCATCGTTTTCTGTTTGGGTAGGAATGGGAAGAAAGTTTGTATTCGTTGGAATGCCGATCTTTCTTATGCTTTCATGAGTGTAAGCTATTTGTTGCGATATTCATTGCAGTAGCTTATGATACTTCGCTGATCCAGGGTTTTATGCGCATTATTTTCTGGGGTACAATCTACAGCTATGTGGCAAGAGTAGTGTGTGGACTCTTGTTTGCTTCGCACAGACGTGTACTCATTTATCAGCATCAGATGAAAGAAAGGCGAATAACCCTACCGGGGGCTCAGTGCGAGACCTCTCGGTTGTGAGTATGACCCTCTAGCGACTGAATAGCCCTGGTCTAGATGGTACAACGACATTGTCAAAAGATGCCACAGTTACTTGTTTGGGACTAGTGTTCACAGTAGGTCCAGATTTTGCCGTCTGGATTTCTGATTGCAGTTTTTTAGTCAAGTTTGCCTCAACATCAAAATACTTTATCCCTGGCTGTCCTGAGCTCATTAGCGAAACTTTTTGGTGTTCATGGCGGTCATCGGGAAGTTTTTTTCCTCACTTCTTCCCGGTATGCGTCCGTGACTGTGGTCCATGTACGTTTTTTGCAACAAAGAAACGAAGGACAAATTTTTTGGGAGCACTCGAAATCGATGTATCATGTTAAACCGAGATATTGTTTTAGTCAAGTAAGATCGTTGGCTTGAAACTACGCTGTTTTAGTTTCGTTAGTTTCAGATGAGAATGACAACCACTATCCAGAGAGACAGTAGCTTTCTGCCTTAGTGAAATCTTTAGTTCCTTTGGTTTAATACGGGCGTTGATTGCATAGATACTATGCAGCATTGTATGGTTTGCTTAGGGTTGGCACACAACGTGTCGATCGAAATGCTGATGTGAAATTTGTACTTTAAAGTACGTTAAATAGTATTGCACATACCAAAGACGTACAAATAGTACTACTGTATTGCCCTTGCTGTATCTGGGGGAAACATGTTTTGATCAGTTTAACAGTTTATTATTGCGATGGAACTGGAAGTGAAGACAATTTGTTGGATACATTGTTTGGGTATTCAACTGTTAAAACAGTTGGGACTCATTGAAATAGTGTTACATCAGTGTTATAGCATTATAACAAGTTATTAATTACTTATTTCTGAATGTCAGTTGTGTGCCATTGAAGTCACCAGATCGAACAGTCCTTAAGGTATTATTAACTGAACCTCAACTTTGACCCGTATCAACAGGAATTTGGCGTTTTAGTGCCATGAATGTGATGTTTATTGTTCTCTATCGTTTTGTTATTATGATGCCTGTACATTTCAGGAATAAGACGCTTATGTTTGGCTATGTTATGTTGGAGAAGAACCTGTCATGGTTCCGCAATCTTCTCGAGTTGACCTTGCCTGATCCGAACCTAGTGAACATCAACGCGCGTAACGTGACCGGTACCGTACTGTCGCTGAACGGCTTTCGGCAGTACTTCTGTGTCTACCATCCAAAGTACGCGTCAAGCATGGCCGGTTACGGCAAACGTAAGAGCAAAAGCGACCACCTGTACTCGGTCGGCTTCAACAGCGATTACGGTGACAGTACCGATGACGAACGACGCGAAAAGCAGCTGCTGCGCGACATTCAGAAGAAGAAGGTGCTCAGAACCGATGAGCTACTAGACGGTTTGTCGAACTGGCTCGATCGACTGTTCGAAGGATCCGTCAAACGCTTCTACATTGCACAATGGCCTTCGATACGATAGTATTCCATCCGATGTCTACGTCTTCGGCAGATCGGCTCGAGTTTCTCTGACTTCTTGTCACTGCGGCATTCAGCATTGTTATCCGTCGATCTAAAGATCTAGCCGGCATTTGTGCTTCTGCTCGCGTCTATGCGTGCTCCCATATCCATTTGTTTATTGGTTGGTTTGTGAATAATTTTAGTGTCTGAAGTATGCTAAATCGAAAGCCTTCATGTCAGTTCTTCAAAACTACTACGTTACTATATTTTAAGTTAATCGCTTATTTATTTATCGTTGTTTGCTTTTAGTGTATGTTTGTCTACAGAAAGTTGAAAGGTACGCGTTTGTTTTCAATTTGTGGTTCATTTTCGCTGAACGTTCGCCCTTCTTACCGTTTGGTACGATTTACTGTACATTCATTGCCTCAATAAACATTTGACATCTGTTCTAGTGCAAATACTTAAATTTGAGCGTATTTTACGTAAGTTTTAAGTTCGTTAGATTTGCTTGCAAAAAGTAAATATAACTCTACTTTAAACTTCGAAATGTTAAAGCATGCATTCATATGGCCAGCCTGTTGGCAACGATCATTTACTTTACGTTGCGTAGGTCGATTATGTCAAATAACACATAATTCATTTAACGAACATGTTTTGTAGCCTATTGCTCATGGTTGCCTGAGTCAAGGTTGAATTTAAGCACAAGAATTATCAGCTCCTGAAACACTGTTGGGGATGAGCATTAGATAACGAACGGGCAAAATGATTCGCGACGCATTTGCTACTGTAGATGTCAAAATACCATGGATCGATATGCGACTGAAATGATCCCCTATACAAGTAGGAGCAACGGGAATGCTATATGCATGAAATCTGGTCTTTGATGAGCCATTCGTTATTTTGTATTTTTGGTGGAGTTCGTCAAGATGTGGTTCTATCTGTTACTCAACATCATGGCGGACTAGCTTGTGCTGAAATGCATCTCC